ATATATATATATTCGTAGATTTTCACAGGTACAGGTATGTAGGTCTAGGTGTGTTTGGGTATTTTCCCGTGTAAGATTAAGAATATCTTGGTGATGTTTCAGCGAGGTCCCACTCGCCATCCTCAGGCTGGTGCCAGTGCAAGCATAAAGCTGAAAGCACCAGCCTGAGGATGATGAGTGGGACCTCGCCAAAATGTTGCCAAGATACTCTTAATCTTACATGGGAAAAGACTCGAACACACTTAGACCTATACACACACACACACACACACACACATATATGCATACACACTGCTCAAAAAAATAAAGGGAACACAAAAATAAGACATCCTAGATCTGAATTAATGAAATATTCTCATTAAATACTTCGTTCATTACATAGTTGAATGTGCTGACAACAAAATCACACAATGCCACAGGCACTCCTGACACAAGAGACATCGAGCTGGCCACACTCACCATGGCCATACCCACCCTGCTGCCTCTGAGGTGAAACACAAGCTTGATGCGGCCCTCAATAGAATCGAGTTTGGTTTATGAAGTCTCTTGTCTCAAAAAATTCTCAACTTTCTTAGTATCTATGTATTAAAAACTCCAAATGTGTCCTCTGGAGAATTGTAGATTTGCTTGGAGCCCTTCTTTCAGTTGCAATGGGAGGGTTGTATTTTAAACCATCATCATATAAAGATTAATGTCAGATTTATACTGCAAAATTACAGTTAAGTCCTTTGTGAGATATTTATAAAATTGTCTCAGTTGTTTCATAACTTTCTACACATTATTGCATCTCTAAATTACTCATCTTTCTTCCATCTTTAAAACATCATTGATCTAAAACTGAATGGTTTTATATAAATATTTTTTCTAATGCCTATCTAAAAATATGCTCCAATTTGTTTTGTCATCTTCTTAACTCCCTCTTGTGGTCAAAGAATAGATTTTTAAATAAATCAAGTAGTTATATAGGTGGGTGGAATAACTGAGGTAACACAGAGCAAAATTCAGCTGTAACTTTATTTAACAATAAAGGGTTGCCGTAGCTGCCACGAGCTAACAGGGCAGCCAGCTGGTGGGCAATAGCTAATGCCATTTGATAGCTCCCTTTTATAGTCAGCTGTCAAATGGCATCAGCCAATAGGAGCGTCTGCGTTCCCACTGGATGCATAGACCAGAGTGAGAACTTCAGCTCAGTCTGTTAGGATGCAATACTCCTTTCTCCCCGAACAGAGCATGCATAGTCCTTTAGGTAACTTGGGTGCTTGCACAGTTGGCTGGATCTTCTCAGTTCTGTTGGTGCTGCCACAGAGTGGGAATCCTCCACTTGTCAAAGCGTCTTTGGTGATGATGGGGCAGGCGTCTTGGCTTCCAATGGCTCAGGGTGTGGAATTGTCAACTGTCCTGGTACATTCGCATTGTTATCAGGTCTGTGTTGGCTTGCTTTGGGTGCCAGTGGTCTGGTTGTGGTGAAGTCATCAGGAGGGCCACCTGTAGAAGTACTCCAATGCCCCCTTAATTGATCAACATGGTGGCACCAAATGTGACTGTCTTACAACTGGACCCTATATGACTTAGGGCCAGTTACTGCCACAATTTGACCAGGTAGCCATAAGGGGTGACCCGCATAGTTTCTGGCATAGACCTGATTGTTTTCACTGAAACTCCTAGCCTGGCTATTGAAGCCCTAAGGTGATCCTCAAATGGTGACCCATTAGGAGTTCAGCTGGGGATCTATTTGTAGAAGCACAGGGGGTAGTGTGCTGGCATAGGAGGTACTTAGCAAGTCTGGAATGCCAATCAGTGGGCCCAAGCCATTCCAGAGCCTCCTTGGTAGATCTGACAACTATCTCAGCCAGGCATTTACTAGCTGGGTGAAAAGGGGCTGTCTGGGCATGCCTAATTCCTTGGTTAGCCAGGAATACCCCAAATTCATTGGATGTGAATTGAGGCCCATTGTCGGACACTATGGTGTCAGGAAGACCATGGGTAGCAAAGATTTGCAGCAGGGCTTTAGCTACTGCTTCAGAAGTTGTGGTTGGGATTAAGGCTAGCTCTATCCACTTTGAAAAGGAGTCAACCACCACTAAAAATGCTCCCCCATGGAAAGGGCCAGCCAAATTGATATGTAATCTGGACCATGGGGACCCTGAATCTTCCCATCTCCTGGGAGTAGCTGTGGGTGGGGCTGGTCTGGTGACCTGGCATGGCTTGCAAGTATTTACCCAGCTGGTAATCTGGGTGTCCATGCCAGGCCACCACACACAAATGCGAGTTAATGCTTTCATCCTGACGATCCCAGGATGACCCTCATGAAGTACCTTTAGGACTGGAATCTGTAACTGGGCAGGAATAACCACCCTGGTTCCCCATGGCAGGCAGCCTTGTAAGGAAGACAATTCTTGCTGATGGATTTTAAAAGGCAAGAATTGAGGTGAAAAGGGGGCTTTAGGCCACCCCCTTCCCATCCAGTCAAGGACTTGGGATATTACCTTGTCCTTGGCAGAGTGGGCAGAGATGTCAGAAGCAATGATGTGTAGTTTGATGTCTTCAATCAGGAACATAGCATTGGTTGGTGCAGGATCCTCCACCGGATTAGGCAGGGGCCAAGGACTGAGAGCATCTACATGGCTGAAGTGTTTGCTTGCTCGATGTGTCAGCGTCTACAAATAAGCAGCCAGAAATAATGTCCACCCGGTCATTCTTGGAGACAAAATCTGAGGTGTTTGTCTGTTGCCAGATAGAAGACCCAAGAGGGGCTTATGGTCTGTAATTAGCTTGAAATGGCAACCACAGAGAAATTCATGAAACTTTTTGACTGATTCTAATGCAGCTAAAGCCTCCTTGTCAATTTGACTATAGTTGTGTTCTGCTAGAGAGAACGTTGCCTGGAGAAAAAGGCAATTGGTGCCTAAGAACCATTGGGCAGTCTGTGACTTAATACGGCTCCTATGCCAAAAGGTGAAGTGTCTGAAACTAAGACTAAAGGAAATTTTTTGTTGAATTGAATAAGGACAGCATCGGATGTAAGCAATGATTTGACTGCTTTGAAAGCATAGGCTTCCTTAGGTCCCCAATGCCAAGAGGCATGTTTGTCCAAAAGTCTATGCAGTAGTTCTGCTATGGAAACCTTATGGGGTAAAAAGGAGGCATAAAAATTAAGTAGTCCCAGGAAAGACTGAAGTTCAGTCTTGTTTGATGGTGTGGGTGCACTGTGGATTGTGTGTACTTTGGATTCTATTGGGTGAATGCCAGAGGCATCAACTTCGTAACCCAGAAATTCTACTTGTGGTGTGGCAATAGTGCACTTTTCCTTTTTCTATTTGAGGCCTGCTTTTCTGAAACACTTGAGAACACCTCCAACTCTTTGTATCAGTTGAGGTTTGTCAGAGGCAGAAATTAATATGTCATTGAAGTAAGGTATTACACAGATAACCCTTGTGGTAACCTCTCCATTAATGACTGAAAAATTCCTGGGGCCATACTGACCCCGAACTGGAGATGCTTGTATCTGAAAGTATCCCTGTGAGTTACAATAGTCTGTAGTTCAGCAGCTGTGTCATGAACAGGGAGCTGTTGATATGCTTGAGACATATCTAATTTTGCAAACATGGTCCCTAGTTCAAAAGAATGCAGCAGGTGCTGGATGACTGGGACTGGATATGCGCTGATATGCAAATATTTGTTTATCAAACATTTATAGTCTGTGCAAATCTTTAAGCTGCCATCTTTTTTAAGGGGCATTACTATAGGTGTTTTCCATTTCGCAAAGTCCACAGGCTCTAATATTCCCTAGTTAATTAGCTTATCCAGTTCCTTGTCCAGATTAAGGCAGATTGCAAAAGGCACTCTGCGAGGCTTCAGATGAATTGGAACTGCTAGGGGGTCCAAATTGAAGGATATTGGGGTTCCCACATAACACCCAAGGCCCTTGCTGAATACATCAGCATAGTCATTAAATAAGGCATCTACCTCCAAGGTAGATGGCAATAGAGTGAATTCCTACTATATGAAGGCCAAGGGCAGGGGAACCAATCTAACCCTAGTAGACTTGGGAGGGGACCATCCACAACAACTAAAGGCAAGTGACCCTTAAAAGTTTGAAAATGAATGAAAAACTTGCCTTTCCCGATGACTATGATGGTTCTACCTTGGTAGTCGTGTAGAGTTAGATTGCAGTCTTGAAGCCTCTTCTTTGCCATACAAGGAAGGATTCACTTCAAGGTGCTCCACAAGATGATGGAGAGTGCTGAGCCAGTGTCTGCCTCCATATTACAAGGTTTTCCTTCTAAAGAAACAATTACACTTACTTTGTTAGAGCCTTTGTCTAGTGATTTAGCTTGTTAGCAGGTGAAGAAATCTTCAATTTGTTTTTGAAAATGCTGAGTTGTCTGAGGAATTGGTTGCTGTGGCTGGGTAAAAGTCTTTCCTGCCTGACAGATCCTGGCTAAATGACCCTTCCTTTGGCATTTTAGACAAATGGCATTCCTGAACTTGCAGGATGCCTTGAGGTGATTCCTCCCACAGCACAGGCAGATGGGCTGAGACCATGGGGGCTGATTGGGAGCAGACCTGTTTCCCCTCTGAATGGCTTTGGGCTCCCTGAGGTGATTTATATCATTGGTTTCATCAGAGCTTTCCTCTGGAGAGACTTCATCATAATGAATGGCTGAACTATTCCGGGAGACAGGGTTTCCTTGAATCTCTGCCGCTGAGAGTGCTGACAGCTCAGCAGCTTGAGATTCCTCTATAGCTATCTTAAGGGTCAAATCATCTCTGTACCACAAACTAATTGGTCCAATAACATGTCCTTGAGGTAGTCCCTAAACCCGCAGTGTAAGGTGGCTGTCCGTAAGGCTGCTATATACCACTAATAGTCTCTCCTTCAGCCTGGGTTCGTCTTCTAAAAGCGTGATGCCTGGTGAGGAGGCTTAGGGGAATAATGGTTACACAGGATTTCCTGCAATTCCTCCCAGGGTACATTTTTTACTGATCGCGGTGCCAGCAATGTGGTAGCAGTGTCAAATACCATGGCTCCACAAAAACTTAAAAAGTATGCTTTTTTCCTGTGGGTAGAAATTTCAGCAAGGTCAATGGCATCTAGAAAACAGTCAAAATGATTTATGTAAGACTCCCATGTCTCTGCTGTCAGTCTGAAAGGCGGGAACGCTGGGGTTGAAGTCATCTCGTCTTCAGGCAGTGCTGGGTTTTTCTGAGAGGATTTGAAATTTGCTCTTGCTAAAAGTGACAATCAGCTCTTATAGTGACTTTCAGGTCGGTAGTGGCTTCAGCTCTTATAGTGACTTTCAGCTCAGTAATCGTGCTCAGTTGCCTCTTAAGCGTATCCCATCCTTGTCACCAGAGTTATATAGGCGGGCGGCAACTGAGGCAACATGGACCAACATTCAGCTGTAACTTTATTTAACAATAAAGGGTTGCCGCAGCTGCTGCAAGCTAACAGGGCAGCCAGCTGACAGGCAACAGCTGATGCTGTTTGACATCTCCCTTTTATAGTCAGCTGTCAAATGGCATCAGCCAATAGGAGCAGTCCGCATTCCCACTGGATGTGTGGACTGGAGTGAGAACTTCAGCTCAGTCTGTTAGGATGCAATACAAGTAATAGTTCCTGTTCAATCAGAATTCATAAAAATTGTTTCAGCCACCTTTAAGAAACAGCCCAGAGCTACAGATTACTTGAAATAGTAAAATAAAACTGCATTACTCCATCAAAGTTTTTTTGAAAAAGGCATTCCAGGCTTTTTTTTATTTCAGCTTCCCTCCGGAAATTCTCTTCCTTGTCATTTAATAATAAAGAAGTATCAAAAATTGCACAAATCTTCAAAAAGGAGTAACCAGCTGTACCTAAAAAGAGCGTCTTTTAGTTAGTGAAGATAAATGATTAAGAAGGGAAAGTCATGAAAATAAATTCCAAAATGGTGGCTTTTTCAACAATGAAATGGTTGGAATGGCTCATCAGTTTATCCAAAGCACAGCTCCTGAGGCTTCCTGAAGATCGCTGCTGTATGGAGGATCTTGGGGAGTGATTCTAGGATTCTCCATAACCCAGGGAAGTAATATAAACTAAAGGAATGTCTACTCCTTCTGTTAGTAAGCTGAAAAATAGTTAAGTCTCCTTGGCCTTGTGATAAGATGGCCATCTTCATAGGATTTTTTCTGCCCTTCTATCTCATGCTTTCTCCTTTCTCCTTTTCCCTTTTTTCTTTCCCTAATTTCCCATTATTTTAATTTTTTTTGTATTTTATATTTTGATAAACATTAAATACATTAAATGTTAAACATTAGCTAAAGTAAAAAAATTAAATCAGGAAAATGCCAAGGTAGGAGAGGACAGAGGGAGGAAAAAAGGGTAGATTTATGCTTTAATCTAAACACTCTGAAATATTTAATTATTTTAGAGAATAATGTTCAAATAACATATTTTGGTTTCTTAAGTTTCAGTGCTCTTTGCTATTTCTTTCTTCAAAGAACAGAAAAGATAAAGATGTTTTTCTCCCTAAATTATATGTGACATTGAAGATTTGTTTGAATCATACTTGATACTCATAGTTTATTTCTTTTTTTTTTCTAAATGCAATCTATGTAGCATATTCACCACTTCTGAGTGAGTTATCTATAATTTTGATTTAAACAATACAGCTAAAAAATGAACAAAGGTAGATGCAAGCATTTTATATTGACTCATCAGTACCTACATTACAATTATAATTTTGGTGTCTACAAAATAAAGCAGAACATAAATAGATTTTAAATTTATTTTATGTTACGATAACTTCCCAACTTTTGTAGGTGGAAATATTGAACTTTTGAACATTATAATGGCATTGTTTTCTTTTTATCTCCAGATTACCAAAATCAAGAAAATACTGGATGTTTGTGATTCCCGGGAAGATAATTTTTGAACGGAAATTATAGTTATATGCCATTTATCACTTTACCTTTGCAAACTTATTACTGCAGAAAAAATATGTCTAGATTTTCTAGAAGCTATCACACTTTGCATTACTTTACTGTGACCTGTCTTTATTCAAAATTGTGCATGAAAGAATCACCTAAGAAATTATTTTATTGCCAGATGTGGCCAGTTCCTAGACTCCACTTACTTGCTGTCCCACTTTTTAGTAGCTTCCAGAGCACCTTTATTTGTGCCACCAGAATTTATAAGGAATCAATTAATTTCCATCATTTTAAGTCTATTTTAAATTCTTATCTTTAGAATATTGTAGGCTTAAAGGATAATTTTTAATTGAATTTCCTTGTAATGTTTAATATTTAAAACCTGATAAAATATATTTCTTATGTTACTTTGTTCATTATGGCATTCAATACTTTAAGGTATAGCAGAAAAGGAAGCATACTTCCACTGGCATTTGCCCACTCTTATAGAAGAAATATGTATGATTGTGACATCTTCTTGCTTTGCTGAATGGCTCCTGATCGTTTCTAAATGTCTGATTCTTCATAATAAATATTTTTAGCAGCAAATTGGAGTGTATTCTTTTGCATTGCCTGGATTGGTTTGCACAGCCTCTATGGATGACTTCCACAAATGGATTATTTGATTCACATCTGATACTGGTAGTTGATCATTGTCCTTTTACATTTTAAATTAATCTGGAAAATGAATTGATTTTTCAAATTGTCAAATTGATTTGGAAGTACATGTTTCTATTTAGCTATTTGATTTGAACCATCATTCTGATTTGTAAAGTCAATTCAGTTGGGGGAATTTGATCAAATTGCTTGTGAAACTAATCTACAAATTGTAGCTCCTGCAGTTTTACACCATAATGTCAAATGAAGGATAAAGAGGCACTATTGAGTCTTCATCTGCTTGAAACACAACATGAACTCAAGTTATTGCAAGCCAGGCTGAACTGGGTGAAGTTCCATTCAAAATGCAAGAAAGAAAACCTTAGACTCCATTATTTTAGAGAAAAAGAATGATATGGTGGCATCAGAGGAATACAAGATCTGAGGCAATAGGCGCGAAAATCACATATAGAAAGTTATGCCAATGTTCCCACCCCAACAGTTCAAATTGGTCATCCAGTCTGAGATGTGCATAATGTCATGTGAGGCATCTTCAGGTGGTGTTTCAGACATCTGGCTCCCCATGGCAGTTGACCTTGGCCTGGATAGATAAGAGGCTACAGCTGCGCAGTAAGCAAGTAAGCATAGTCAAGAAAGTTTTCCAAAGTTTTACAGTTCAACCTCTCAAGCCTCCAGCATGCTTCTCCTCCCCCCCGCCCCCCACATAGCCCAATTAATCCTCCTCCCTGTTTCTATGGCAGCCAGAAAGACTGGCAGAAGAAGGATTCTTGAAGGTTGACATACACACTAAAGAGGTTAATTTTCTCATAGACTGATTGATTTGCCCTGTCTTTTTCAATGGCAGTGTCCTCCAGTGCATAATACATATGCAAGATCAACTTATGGCAGAGCAATTATGTTAAGTAGCTTCTTATTAAGCAAATGGGTCAAATCTTAAAAGTTAACAAGCTAGATGCAGATCTGTTTTCATGATCACTTTGTATTAGTCATCCATAACATATACAAATAAGTCTGATGTGCTGTTGCTTCCTCTTCCTCTTAGTGGAAGCACTAAGAGTACAGAACAAAATAGAGAATAATAGAGCTGGAAGGGACCTTGGAGCTCTTCTAGTCCAACCCCCAGCTCGGGCAGGAGACCATAAACCATTCTGGACAAATGGCTGTCCAATCTCATTTTAACAGCCTCCACTGATGGAGCACCCACAGTTTCTGGAGGCAAGCCATTTCACTGATCAATTTGATGCATTCTTCTATTCACCCATCATCTAGATCATTTATGAAGATATTGAAGAGTACTGGGTTAAGATAGAATCTTGATGTACTCCACTGTATGATTCCCTTTATGTAAATGTAATTCAATTGAGGACTACCTGCTGAATGCAGTTAGTCAGCCACTTACAAAACTGTCTGGTGATGTGCTGTCTATGTCACATTGTTTTACTTTGTCAAATGCCTTACTGAAGTCTAAATATACTCTGTCCACAGAATTTCACTGGTCTGCTAATTTAATCACTTTGTAAAAAAAATGCAATAAAGTTTGTCAGGCATGATCTGTTTTTGATAAACTCATGTTGACTTCCTGTAATAGGTTTAAGCACTTCCAAGTGTTCACAGATACATTGCTTGATTATCATTTCAAAGATCTTTCCAGGTATTGGTGTCCGGCTGGGCAAATTGGTTTCTAATTTCCTGGTCCATTTCCCCCTCTTTTTTTGAAGATGAAAACTATATCAGCTCTCTTCCAGTCGTCTGGTGCTCCAGGATATTTGAAAGACATATATCTGTGGTTCTGATATCATGTCTACTAGGTCCTTTAGAGCTCTGTGTTGTAATTCTTCTGATTCTGGTGATTTGAAGTAATCTAGAGTAAATAGATGTTATCTCCCCATTTTATTGCCTATTTTGACTTGTATTCCTTATCTGTCTTTTATAGTAATGCTTTTGGTAAGTTGAACAATTTTTTCCTTTCCATATACAAAAAATGAATTCAGCAGTTCTGCTTTCTCTCTGTTGCCCATCACCTCCTTTCCATCTTCTCCTATTACTCGATCAATTGTTTCCTTGGCTTTTTTTTTTTACATTTTGAAAGAAGCTCCTTTTTATTATATTTGAATTTATTACAAGTCTTACCTCATTCTGAGTCTTAGCTTTCCTGACTTCATCGTTGCAGATTGGGTTACATGCTGCTTTTCTGTCTAAGTCATGTGGACCTCATTCCATTTTTTACACTTGTCTTTTTATCTATCAGTTTATCAGAGAGTTCTTTATGCAACTTGTTTGAGTTCCAGAGTGGCTAGACTTGTCTCTAAACCTCTGCCTTCTGCTGTTTATTCCTTACTGTGTTTGGTCTGGATACATTTTCTTCCTTTGGTGGGAGTTACTCATTTGGTTGGTTGTCTCTCAGAGTGACTAAATATATCTCGGGAGATTTTATTTTTCTTCTTCTTCAAGTAATTCATTTAATTTACATTAGGTACATGTGTCCATTTGTACCAGCAGTTCCAGCTGTATGACAAGGTTCTTCTTAATGTCCAATCCTTTTTATATCTGATTTGTGGTGTAGAAAGATGGTTATCTCTTTCATCCCATATTGTAGAGGCAAGAGGTAGAAGCTGTGTTCAGGCAAGAGTGAGGGAGCCTCCCCCCAACCCAACAAGGGTCAATTTAGTGACCGATCAGGATTACAGATATGGCCACATGACATGAACTACATTTCCCAGGATACCTTAACTACATTTACCATGATGCATTCCCTTAAGGGGACAGCTCACAATTCCTAACTAACTATCCCAAATCCCATTAACTCTAAACTGTCTGGACAGCACACTCCCCACCTGGAATTGTAAATTCCACAACTAAAGTAGCTGTATAACTAAAATAAACAGTAAAGAGTAGTACTAACTGAATAGCAGATAGCGATATAACTAAATAAACAGTTAGCTATAAAACTAAGAGAAACAGTAAATAGTAAAGCATCAAACAAAGCAAAACATGCAAAGCTTGAGGTACAATCTTCAAGTTCAGCCTTTCTCTGTAGCAGCACAAGGTCAGTGACCTGTCAGGTATAGAGTTTCTTGGTGCAAGTCTACTGGTCACCTCTGGTGGCCTTTTAGAGTGGACAGGTACTCTTGGGGCCAATGGTGAAAGTCTGGTGGTTGCTTCTGGTGGACTTTTAGGCTTGGAGTGGTACTCTTGCTTCCACGGTGTCAAAGGGTATCAGGAAGCTGTTGGAAAGGGTGTTGCGGAGGCATATTACCATGTAGGGTGTCTAACTGGAAGTCTGGTGGTTGCTGGCAACCATTTAGGGTGTCCTAGCGAAAGTGAACTGGTCGCCGGTGGCCTTTTAGGATGGAACGACATTATTAGTTTTGATGGTGCTAAAGGGCATCGGAAGGCTGTCAGAATGGATGGTGCTAAGGCATCTGCCTGGGTTGGGGCCTGCATCTGATCGACACTGACAATTCCTGAGATTCCCCAACCCAAGTCTGTCTTGATGTTAAAGGGTGAGTATCTCGGGCCTCTGACTACTTCAGTGTGCACTAAGGCATCAGGGGTATCGAATCCCAGCAAGAGCAAAATCTTGGCTTTAGGATCTAGGGTGGGAAATAGATGAGCCATATGCTTCAGGTGAGGTATGTTGCTAGCTACCTCTGGTGTTGCAATGTGGTTGCGGTCATCTGGTATCCCACTCCATTCCAACATGGGTGGCAGTAGGAACTGGGAACTTCCATCTAATGACTGTATACAGAGTCCAGTAGCTTCCCTCTCCACCATGTGTCTTGGTGCAGTGCACATTGATATTGTGAAGTGTACTTCTTCCTTCTGAACATCAAAGAGGTCAAAGAATGCAGACCTGGCTAGTGAGCGATCGCTCTGAGGATCCAGTATTACATATATCTCCACTGCTTCTTCTGGGCATCGATCTGGGTAGACTTTGGCTAAGCAGATCTGATGACATAAGCGAAGGGCTGGTGTGCCATTGCACACCTCTATGCAATTGACACTCACCATTGGCTCTGGGTGTGCTTCTGTAGCATGTTGAGACTCCTTTTTTGAAGGAGGGCTATGAGATGTCTGCAATAGTGGATCAGTGGTGGATCTGGATGCAGCGCGGTCAGGTGCATGTCACTTTTGCAGATATGACATTGCACTTTGGCTGTGCAGTATTTGGGCGAGTGTTTGGATTCGCAACACTTGTTGCAGAATTGGAGCTGTTTTATCAACTCTTTCCTTTTGGTCAGAGATTTCGCTGCGAACCCCTGGCATCTGTTCAGCGAATGTTGAGTGTGGTACAAAGGACAAAACTGGCTTCTCTTTGGAGTTGGAGATCTAAATTGGATTCTACCTGATGAGTCCTCTCCCAAACTGTTTATGGATGAAGAGTCGATCTCAGTTTTATGGACAACCATGAAAGGTTTGCCCCTTGCAGGGGTGTAGGTCCTGTGGATGGTACATAGTTGCTGTTATATCTTTTTTCACTGGGAGGACTAACAGCTCTGAGTTTGCAGGCCCTGGGGGTCTTTTGCCTGGTGGGCCACAAATTCTTCGAGAAGGGTAAAGGGTATATAGTTATGGCGACCCTTGGTCATGAAGGCATCAGACAACTGGAGCCACTGTTCAATTAGCACCTGCGGGAGTTTTCAAATGATTTTGCATGTCGATGTGGTCAAGACAAGCGAGTCCTGGTAACCGGGGATCCCACTGTGCCACTTTCAGTTGTATAAGTATATTAGAGAGTTCCATGACCAGGTGAGGCCTGTTGATAGGAATTTTAGGAAATCTGTTGAGGCTGTTCAAGAGCGTTGATTCTACTGCTGTGGGAGCACCATACAGTTCATCAAGTCTCTTCCATGTCAACTGTAAGGCAGCATCTGGGTCATCTAAGTGGGAGGCATAAAGTGCCTTCATTGCTTTGGCAGACCAC